ATTTATTTGCCGCCATAACAAGATAAATATACACAAATGAAAACAATCACAGACAGTAAAGTTATCTTTCCATGTGCTTATTCTGGTTTTAGAAAATTGAAAAATCATCGAAAAATACATAAGCCAAGAAAAAAAAAATTGATAAAATAAGTTTACGTATAAATCATGACATAATTCATTGTAGTAACGCTAAATAATTAATAACTTGAAAGCAAATTTACAGTGTTGTTTTTGTATAAAAAAAATCATTGGTAATGACACAGAGCTTGCTGCAATTAAAAAAAATCTTATTCATGCCTAAGATCTATCATGAAAAGAATCATCATTGACATGAATAATGTACCAAATTTGAATGAAAAACAACAAAGCATGTCCAAGATACCATATTTTCCATAAAAACTAGATCACAGTTTTGGAGATACAGTAGTATAGCCAAAAAGCAAGATTCAGTGTAATAGAAATTAACATATATCCTTAACTTGTATAATGTAATTATAAAATGCAATGAAAATGACAAAGCACATTCATGATAATACATTTTCAAAAAAACAAGAAGGCTGCCAGGTTGCCCTATTTTATTCAATTGCAAAACGAATCATTATGAACATGTATCCTAACATGTAAATGTATGTACCAACCCCTGGCATAGAATGTCCAAAAACAAAATGGCCACCAAATGGCCATCTTGGATAGAATCAATAATGCATGTGCACATATAACACAAAGTACTAGGTACATGCAATGAATGGGCAGATTCCGAGGCACTCTTAATTAAAAGTTCTAAACTAGCAGTCTGTCGGCTGAGATAGCTCCACTGTTATCAATCCACATTGCAATTAAAGAACAGAAGATATCATTCGAAAATGAACAATATGTATAGTATTAAAGCAATCAGACTTTTTATAACTTTTTATTAAAAATGTTCATTAAAATTAGATAATTGAAGAACAAAATCATCACGAAATTAACAAATCTGAGAGAGGTCTACCTGTATGCCTATGTAGTATATATAATATCAAAGCAATTAGACTTGCGGTTTTTAACAAGAAGTCGAAAATATCACTTTTTACCAAAAATGAGAAAAATATTCATCAAAATTAGAGAATTAAAGATATCATCACAAAATGAACAAATCAGAGAGAGGTCCACCTAAGGTACCTACATACCAAGTATCAAAGCATTCGGGCTAGCGGTTTTCAAGAAGTCGAAAATAGAATTTTCTGACAAAAAATGACAAAAATATTCGCTATTCGAATATATCCACACGAAATGAACAAATTTGATAGAGAGAAGCCCCCGAATGTACCTTCCTAGAAACTTTCACAGCTATACAGTTTGTGGTTTTCAAGAAGAAGTCGATAATGTAAAGTTGACGCTGGCAGCGACAAAGGCGAAGACGACGGCGGACAATCAGTAATACTATAAGCTCCGCTCGACTTCATCGGAGCTAAAAAGTGTACCAGGCAAAATTGTTAAAACTGCAAGTGTATTTTTAAGAGTGTTTTTCTTTCATATGTTCAAGTGTTGTGTTGTCTAGTGGGATGGTAAATCTGCTAAAATTAAATGGAAAACATAGTTGAACTCTGGTGACCTTGCCCTTTGTTATATAATATTATTCCCATATCATAGTTTGTTTCAATATGAATATGCATTGTCTTAATTAATTTTGAATACAAACAAGTTTTGGGGTTGAAGCAACAGTGGGAAAGCAGTTTACCGAATGTCCTTGATAGATGTAAATATCTTACAAAAACATTGGTGCCTAATTTGTTTAATTATTTTGAGGAACATAGTTTCCAGCTTTATTCAAAATAATTCAGATTTTTTATTATAAAAACAAATGCCGTATCTCAGAATAAAAGTGCTGCATTTAGACATGAATGGACTCATAAATCATGCAAGCTACCAGAAAATCTTAGCTGGCTTTTGCCCAAGTATTTTGTACAGGTGTCTGTCAAAAATTAATGATTCACTGAGACAAATATGAACTGCCTTATTATATTCATTGTGTGACTACTGTATTATTTGAAAAGTAAAAAAAACACCGTCTTGGAAAAACTATCATATTGCAAGCTCTGCTTTGTATGCAAATCAACTTAAATAGTAAGTTGGTGTCCAGTGAAGAGAGAAGTCAACAGTCCTTTTGCCTCCTGAGAATCTACATCTTCAAACACTGAAATCTTTGTTTTTAAAGTGCGTTTTTAAATTATTATTATTATAAAAGCTCTATCATTCTGTTCTAATAGCTGAAACAAATTCCTGTGAATTTTCATTTATCGAATGAACCGTTTGTCCGCTATTAGCAATTCACATTTCAATTAAAAACAGAAGATATCATTAGAAAATGAACAGTATGTATAGTATTAAAGCAATCAGACTTGCAGTTTTTAACAAGAAGTCAAAAATATCACTTTTTACCAAAAAAGATAAAAATATTCATTAAAATTAGAGAATTGAAGATATCATCACGAAATGAACAAATCTGAGAGAGGTCTACCTGTAGTACCTATACATGTATATATAATATAAACCAGACTTGTAGTTTTCAACAAAAAGTTGAAAATATCACAAAAATGTTCATCAAAGTTAGAGAATTAAAGATATCACAAAATGAACAAATCTGAGAGAGGTCCACATGTAGTACCTATATATGTAATATCAAAGTAATTGGACTTGCAGTTTTTAACAAGAAGTCGAAAGTATCACTTTTTACCAAAAATATTCACCAAAATTAGAGAATTAAAGGAAACATCATGAAATGAACAAATCTAAGAGAGGTCTACCAAAGGTACATATACACCAAGTATGAAAGCATTCAGGCTTGTAGTTTTCAAGAAGAAGTCGAAAAAGCTGACACGGATGACGACAGACGCCGATGGACGACGGACAATCACTCATATGATAAGCTCTGCTCAACAAAGTCGACAGCAGAGCTAAAAAAGGACTATATAAAAGGACTCCTAAAACATGGTCATTCACTATGCATATTATATACAGATTTTTAATTGTTAAAGTAACGCATTGATTTTGTATAGAACACTGTACTCTGAGGGTATATTCAGATTATGGGATTATTATGTGACATATTTGGTGGTCTTATTTTACACATATTATTAGAAAAACACAAGGGTTCACGTAGATTCTGCCTTCTTGTGAATCTTTGGAACAATACTCATAAGTGTGTTTGGAACATTATATAAAAGCATTTTCAAATTTGAAGCCAAGATAATCGGCAGCATTTAGACACAATGAAATTTGAAATCATTGAAATTTGAAAGAATTTTGAAATTGTGTGGTACAAATCTACATAACTGCATTGAAACAAAATACATGTCAAGTCCATAATCTAAGAAAAACCCAACAGTTACGAGATAATGACATGGAGTTGAATATGACTTTTAATTCATTAATAAGAAAGCCTTCTTTTACTGTTTTTATTCATTTTGTTTTTTCTTGTGAACTGTTTAATAACCCATCAGCAATTAGAGACTTAATACTATTGTAATATTTTATCTACGATAATAGATAAAAATCTGTTCTTAACCTTTTGAGCGCCAAATTCAATTTCAATCACCATTCACAAAATAGTTTTGTTTATATAGTCTGCTATTTTTCACATAAAATGATGTGAAAATTAAAATTTGTTGAATATAAAACTAAAGCAATGTCACATTTTATTTGTTTTGTTCCAAAATTACAATTGAATTCAGTGAAAATTACAGAACATGTGAACAAATTTACCTAAATTCAAGCTGGAAAAATTGGTTAAATTAATTTAAACTGGCTCACAGAGATCAACAAATAATGAACAAATATTGAAATACACTTCTTTCATACAAGTTTGTATGAAATTTATATTTGCCTGATAATAAGTTCAATACAAGCACCTAGTATTTATCTATATTCATAGACCGCATTTGCTGCATGTTCTCAGTTTCAAATTCAAAGATTTAATCATACTTTTTTTTAGTTATTTAACTTGGTGCACCTGTATTGTATAGCAACACTTTACATTTAGTCTCTATGTAAAAACTAGAATCAGGACATGCACAAGTATGGTTATGATGATACTGTCTTTTTAGAATTTTGTTTGCATCAAAATACAAATAACATACAATGCATTGTGGGAAGGAAACTCACATTAAAGTCTCAATTTTTTTTCAAATATTGCAACAATGTTTGGATTCATTAATAACAATTTAGAAAGCATGGTTGTATTCATATGCAGCTTTACACAGATTGGTTTTATTCATATGCTACTATTGTATAACATTTAATTTCATTGCACAATGAAATTTGTAATTCACATCGATTCCATATCAACAACACTGAGATTCAAATGCATGCAGCATGATAACCATAACCCTAAAAAAATTGTTCTAATCCATTAATAATAAAAATATTCATCAAGATGACAAAACGTGGCCATGACATCATTCTCTGTACCAATTATCCAATCTCAAAGATTTGTATTTGCTCCATATCACTGAGGTTTACACCTGTTTTTCGTGCTTTTATTCGGATTTCGAGAATCTATGAAATAAAATGTGCACAGAAATGTTATCATTATGATCCTCCGTAGTGAGTAGTTCAACACTGGTGACCTTGCCTGGGATTCAATACAAACAATGTGACAACCGCTACCCATAGCATGTATATCAAATGGAGATAAAACTGGTCAAAATTCACTCAATCACAACAGATGCAACAATAGGGAAACCTTGATTCACGTGTGCTTGCATACGACTTGCCAATATAGCAGTTTTAAGAATTTGGAGCTACAGAAGTTTAATTTTTACAATAAAACTGTTTATTGTGTTTAATAGTTTTGTTAACATTAAATTTGTGTGAACAGCATTGAGTTAATCATTGTTTTTTTATTCTCATACAATGCATACTAGATTAGAAAAATAATGTTTAAATGCATCCATAGCTCAAATATGCTGAACCGCTTAATCCGAAGCACGAACTCAAAGAATGGCGAGAAACAGAACTCTTACAGAGTAAATACAAGCTATCACCTAGTTCTGTGTCATATGGCTTAGGTTTGGGGCCTTTTTCATGATTTTGACTTAGACACTCTCCACCTCTGCCATCTGTATAAATATTATAAAACTGGCCCAGAAAGTTCAGTTTTTATTTACAAATTGTGGCATTCGCGGACAACATAATTTATGTTCACACACATTTCTGGGCACAGTGTCACAACCTAGTCATTGAAATTCGAAAATAACCGCATTTTTGACAACAATGTTCTGGTTTCACAGGCATTCCAAATAATCGCATACACAATAAAAGTCATGATATTTATGGATTTACATCACAGTGTGAAAACATAGTGATTGTAAATTAGATGGGTTTCTGGGTGTTGAAGCCAGGGCAATTTTTTCAATATTTTTGCATGGATCAGCAAATGGCCGAGGGGAGCACATCAGAACAGAAGCTCTCAAGCAAAACCATAAAATCACAGGCTAGCAATGACCATACTAACCTATGCTTGGGCAAGATTTTGAAGATGTCAGACTTGGATGATTCCGGCTAGGACTGTCTTCCACAATATGGTCAGCTCCCTGAAAGTGGATAAAACAAAGTATAATTAAGAGTGTAATTAATTAAAATGCAAATAAATTTAAATATTGTATACCGGTGTGTATCATGCAATAGCAGTGGCAAATTTAATTGACATGACATCACCAACTAGTCTATTTCTAAAATGCTAGAACAAAGCTTGTTTAATAACTAGACAAATAATTTTTGTGAAACATTTTGAAATATGATCAATCTGAGTGTTCATGCTATATATGCATTCACCAATATGCGTTTTGTTTTAAATCATATTTGATAATTTTGCCATTTTTATTTCTCTCACAGAATTCATTGTTTTCACTGAACTGTCACTACTGCTTGCCGATTTACTGTTGAGATACATGAAGAGTGCTGTTGAACTATTCAACAATTTAGTTTATAACCATAAATACATTGATGGTTCCAAAAAATAATGAAATTTCTAACAGTACATGGCATAGGGAGAAATTATTGTTTTTGTTGTCACTAGAGGGCACTATAACAGGCTGGAGAAATCAGTCTATGCAGTGATATTAGGCAACAACATCAACATTTTTTTTTTCTTGTTTAATCTTGCTTTGAATAGCATAGTTAACCAACTGTAAAAATAACCTAATGTGAGTTTTTAAGCTCCACAAAAATAGGTTTTTTATCTCTGGTTTTTAGTGCGAGGTAAATCTTTTCTATAAATAGTATTTCTTTTTTCAAAATGTAGTGCTTTGTTAATATGTATAACAATGATATTTTTATTTGTAACTATTGGTTATTAAATGAGCAGTGTGACCACACAGTATATATTGATAGTTAGTATTGTTATAAATGGGGTGTAAACAAAATATTATTTGTTTTAATCACAGCTGATAAACTGGCTGTAATGCATGTTTATGAAACAGTATTGCTGTATGCCAAATGAATAGAATGCGTTAAGATGCTTAGGAGACACGCAAACAAATAACGCTTCTAATGTTAGTTTCTGCTGGCAAAATAGCTGAAATGCACCCTCTATGGCCAATTTATTTCACAATAATGCTCACTATATAAAACCATGCCCTTCAGCTAGAATAAATTGCTGCAAGAAAGGCAGAAACGATAAAAATTTTTTTATCAAAACACTCATTTTAGACCAAAATTACAATAATCATTTGAACAAAAACTTTCAGCCACTAAACACTTTCAAACAGAATATTCACATAGTTGACATTTTATTCTGCTAAACCAATACAAGAACTAATCTTCCACCTATCTAATAGCCACTGAAGTTTCACACTTAACCTAGATGGTTACAATACATTACCCAGGATGATATTGAAATTTGTCTTTTCACTGTGCAGGTTTGTCATCTCCTACCTTGTGTATCAACCTTGACATTTGATGAGGGATGAGACAATTCTCGATGTCTCTTTGGGATGTCTCTACACAACAATTATCTACAGCAAGCTGCCAATATTCAAGACTAAATTAAGCATGATTTGACAAATTTTATGCAGTGTATTCATTCCGCTGTGGTACTGTAACTTTTAGCATTAACAAACTATGTGATGTTCCAGCCAAACTAGTCACATGACCTTCATCCATACCTGGGAAACATGGAGGTCAAAAAGATTATCTCAAATTACAGAGGTACATTATAATTGTCTATATGAATTAGTTTCTTGTTAAATACTGTGACGATAGAAACACTATCCTACGGCATTGATGAATAAGAAGTAGCAGCAGTTAATTATGCGTGTTAAGTACACTAACATGCATTCCTTGTGTTAGACAAATTCCACCTTAGCTGATCTGTGTATGATACAAGTACCTGACAGATGTTTTTTCTATCAACTTATGGGATAATCAGTTTGTTACAAGACTCGTGGCAATGCATCAAATAAATTGAGAGGGAGAACTATCCTGAATTGTTTACATCATGTCTTTTAATATTCAACCAAAAAGTAATAACTACGTATGTAAATTACAGCACATATTTAAGTCTGTATGCAAATATAAACTTTGATTTGGTTGTCCCTTCAGTGTGACTGATGTCAATGCCAAGTTTGAATGGAATCGGTCAAAGCATGTCCAAGAAACATTTGATGATGAGTCCAAATGTTGCCAGTCGGTCAAAGGTTAACAAAATCAAAAATAAATTGATGTGGACATGTCTTTCATTATGACTTGTCTTTGAGAAATGATGACAGACACACGGACAGATGGATGGACAGATGAACGCACATATGGACAAACCAAAACCAAAACCCATTTCTGACTACGTCCGACAGGGACTAAAAATCATCCATTTTCAAAAACAAATGCCAAGCAAGTGCATCAATGTACGATAAACACGAACTGCACAGGCAGTTAACATGAACTACAGACAGAAAATTACCAGGCGTATGTCGACGAATCACAGGGAGGTACATACAAATGCTAGGAACATACAAAATAAAAACAGCATGGACTTCACCTACACAATTTTCCAAAATTCTGAGAAAGAAAGCAAAACTAAGAGTTCCAGAGAACTAAGTATTCTAATAATTCATGCACAAGCAAAACATTTGTATCATAACAATTCACATTTTTGAAAAAAATAATTATTTTCACTATTATTACAATCACTAAATTTAGTTTGAATTTGATTTTCTGACATGTGGTCCGAGGTCCTTTGAAAGTAGTGAAAGAGCATTGGCTCGATGACAATTTGCCTAGGTTGAGTATATGTCGGTATGTATTGACCTTCAGAAGGCGGTTGGACGAAGCATGTAAAATGGCGAGAGCGAACTTAAAGTCTTCTCAAAATAGTATGAAGCACAGGTATGACAGAAAGGCACAAAAATGTTCATTTAAGCGTGGTGATCTAGTTTTAGCGTTATTGCCTGATAAAGGGAATACATTGATGGCTCAGTTCCATGGACTATATGAAGTATTTGAGAGAGTTAATGATGTAAATTATATAATCAAGACTCATGATCGTCGAAAGTCTACTCAATTATGCCACATAAATATGCTAAAATTGTATCACGTTGCGGATGACATTCAGAAAGTTATGGTAGCTCAGAATTTTCCTGTTACAGAGCATGCAGAGAGTAGTTTAGAGACCGAGAATTCTGTAACTAGAAGAGATAGTAAAGTGAAATTAAGTAATTCAGAGATTCTTGCTAATCCTGATGTTAAGTTAAACTTCTGTTAACCCGATATGCTAATGTTTTTCCAGATGTTCTTATATATATATTCTATCTAACTTCAATAAACGAGTACGTTCTATTCACGCATATACGTAACTCTGGTTTGTTTTGTTGATTGTTTGAATCACTCTGATTGACTGGGGGCTCGTCGAGCTACACTTGCTTCTTCCCCACGTGACGGTAGCATGTGACATCCCACGTAGCTATCCCTTTTCGAAAAACTACCAGTAATTAGACCCATACTAGTTTACGGAAGTGACATCTGGGGTCATGAAAGCACATACAAATCAAGTGTGGAAGAAATTCACCTAAACTTTTGTCGTTTTGTTTTAGGAGTCAGGAAGAACACATCAATCTTGAGTATTTATGGGGAACTGGGAAAATACCCACTTGACGTATTCATCAAAAAACAATTAATTAAATACTTCAACAGAGTAAGGAATACATCAAATGAATTGGTAAGGGAGGCAGCAATTATAAACAAACAATTAAACAGCAAATGGTACAGTGCCATAACTACACTGTTAACTGAAATAAACCAACCACAAATTATCGAAACAACAACTATACTGAACGACAGAGAAACCAAGAAATTAGGTTTGGAAGTTGAAAAAATATATAAATTATACTGGAAAAGGGAAATTAACATAAGGACTGATGTTAACAAAAATAACAATAACAGAAGAAATAAACTCAGAACGTACACAAATTTCAAAAATGAATTTACTTTAGAAAATTATGTGATCAAAATAAAGAATGCCGAACTACGTGAATGTCTAAGTAGGTTCCGTCTGAGCAACCATGAACTAAAAATTGAAACAGGGAGGTACACCAAACCAAAAATCGAAATAGGAAAAAGAATCTGCGAACTGTGTTCAAATAACAAAGTAGAAGATGAGTACCATTTCATGATTGAATGCCCCTTTTACGAAAAATCGCGGAAAGCATTATTTGAAGAGACTACTAAGCACATTCATGAATATGAGTGACTACAACAAATTTTTAAAATTAATGGGTGATACCAATCTGAATGTGCAAATACCAGTTGCCCAATTTATCAAAAATAACACGAATCTTAGACAGCAACATCTTCTGGCAAATTAACATAAATACTTTTCTCCTTTTTTTTTTCTCATTTCCATCGATTTACTGTTCATTGCTTTTTTTATTTTTATTATTTCATCTATTTTTTTTTCAATATTATTACCAACATATATCAATAGTTTTTTTGTAATTGTAGTCTGTCGATTTATTTTTTAAACCATTGTTGTGCTTTAGACAGTAATTCTTGTAAAATTTGTATGTTTTATATATGTGTTTTAGCAGTTAGTGTAACCATTTTAATTCCTTCTGAGGAATTTTAAGTGTTTCAATAAACCTACATACGGATAATTTGTTGATAAATATTTTTGGTGCCAGTTGTATAATAGTGTAATTTATTATTATCATCATCAGTACATTGCTCTTACCTTGTCACTGGAGCCTTTCTTATAAAGTTTCATGACTTTAGTATCAACATCCTTTTCACCCTCAAAATAGCTCTCATCTGGAATAACGTCTTGGGAAGGATCCTTTCTGTGACCTTCATCCTCAAACAGAGGACTTGTTGTATTATCCTTCTTAACAGGATTCTCTTCGGCAATAACATACTGAACATTTGGTTGAGTAAATTGATCTCCTTCGGCATCAACATCTCTCTGTCCTTCCATAACATGCATGGCATTCATATCTCCTATTTGGATATGCTGGCCTGTGATGTGGTAATGTTGGTGTATTATAGTTGGAATTTCAACTGCAGACATTGAATCCTTTGGCGGCAATGCATATTTCTCGTTGTAAAATTTTGTTGACACCTTCTCTTCATGTCTATGTTGATCCTGCATAGTGCTAGGTTTGGCTATTGATGTATTCTGCTGAGATTCAGAAACTCTGACATCTTTCAACTTTTTTGCCAGCTTCCCTACGTCATCATTTTTATTTTCCCTCTGCATCTTACATATGCTTTTATCACTGGATTGAATCCCATGAAGTGAATTAATTTCTGTTTTGTAGCTAATGCCCCTGGCTTTTTTGCTCCCACCATTCTGATTTTTCTGAAGCTGTTCATGCTTGCGTAACTGTGATGAATCTTTTTGATATTGGCTCTGTTTCTTTTTTTTCTCCTGTTTATACTGCTGCTGCAGCAGAAGCTCATCTCGGGGTTTGTTTAATGATTTTAACAATTTCTGTTTCTTCAATTTCATCTCAGCTTCTGCATACCTTTCTTCGTCTTCCTCAACCTTGATCTCTCTCTGTAATGTCGTTATAGTTTTTTCCAGCTGTTCTTTGTAGAAACGATTTGATCTCTTTAGACATGCCACACTCTTTAGCTCGGTTGGAATTTCCTTGTCCTGCAATCCATACACAATAGGAACTACAAAATTGTGTTTCTCAGGATCATCTATTGCAGTGATGAGACTAGTGTGAATGTGTTTCTCACACCACTTGTCTTTCAAGAAATTCTTGGTTAAAACCACCACAATGTATGTGCAGCTATACATGGCGTCTTTAAAGTTCTCAAAGACATTCTTGCCACCAGTCTTGAAACCCTCAAAGCTGCAGACTTTCAATTGCCATCCTTCAAACAATGATAACAGTTCTTCTAATTCAGATTCATCATGAGTACTAGACAGAAGAATGGCATCATAGTAGCTGCCTTTCTTTGGTAATTGTGCACGTTCTCTTGCTGTCAACTGTACGTCACTAAGTTCTGATTCTGCTAACAGTCTTAGATCAGCATGCTGACCACTGGACATACTTTTTCTGTTATTTGCTGCTACCTCTTCTGTTGGTCTGGACAAAGATTCATCGTCAAAACAGGCACTTTCATGATCTTTTTTTTGATCTGTAACCTGATAGGGTTTTAACAATTTGGTCTCATCATCATCATCATCATCATCATCATCATCATCATCATTATCATCACTTGTCAAGCATGTTTCAGGTGCTGTTTCATTAACACTGGAGCCTGCATATTGTGAAGGTAGTGAAAATACTGGGTTTGTTGTATCGATGACCCTTGCCCCCACGCTCATATCTTCTGATTGTTTAGGATGAGCTACACTTCCGCTGGATGGTAGTACCACAGCAGGATTTTCTCTGTCCCTTAATGTAGATGATTCCTCACTCCCTGTTGGCACAATCTTTTGTTCATCTCTTTCCGTCTTCACTTCAGTTGATGTTGCAGCCATAATACTACTTCCAGATGCAGAAACATCCTTTTTGTGTATACCAGCTTCTTCACTGACTGTAGAAGTTGAGGTTGAAATATCATTGGCAGGAGAGCATGACTCTCCAGTATTCATATCACAACTTCCAGAGGATGTTGCAGGGATGGCAGAAGAGATCATTTCTGAAACACCTTCTGTGTCATTGCCAGGTTCTGTGACTGGTTCCTCTATCTCTGTTGAAATGGATGTTGGTGGGACTGGAACTGCATCTTCCATAATACTTTCTGTTCTCTTCACAGCTGTTGCCTTCTTGTCACCTGCATTACATACAGCCGCTTTGTTTTCACAAGCTCTGAACTTTGTGTTGATTTCACTCAGATTTTCATCAATACAGTCTTCCCTCCCCTCCAATCCAACCGTCAAAATTGCTGGAGACTTGTCAACTTCCTGGGAAGGATTATCTCTGAATGGTTTTCCTTTATACTTGCTGCATGAAGGAGCATCAGCATCTGGCACCACATCTTGCTGTAGCATGCTTGGACATGATGTAACTTTTCTTAATTCATACACACTCTCATCATCTTCATCATCACTCTGTTCGTTGCTAATAATATCTGCAACATATGATGCGCACTTGGAAGATAAACGAGCAAACTTTGATGCTTTCAAAAAACAGTTTTCTGGATTTTTCAATTTACCGATGAAATCGTCTGAAAGAATACTTTCCCATTTAGATATTGTTTTGATTAACACACCAGAAAACAGCCAGGCAATCACTTTAACTTCAGTCGCACCGCATTTTATAAGATCTTGAAACAGACTGATTGATGATCTGAAGTATTCCAGTCTTTTATCTTCAGTAATGATATTCCCTACATCACTGTCAATACGTACAACTAAATAATAGCAATATGCCAGCTGCAAGATCCACTCTAAATAGTCAGGATGAGCTTCTCCCAACTCTAATGCCTTCAGATAACTTTCTATGGTAGTGTCAATACCAAATGTTGGTGTTTGGAGGTAAAAACATGCCACGTTTAGTTCAAAAAAAGCACATGCTTTTAAAGCACATAACTCTGCTTCAGTTTTAGCACCGATTTGACGTAGATCCCTGTGTACTTCTTGTACTTTGTCTTTTTCTTCTTCTTCTTTGTAAATATGAAGCAGATTTAGTATTGCATTAAGGTTTCTTGGTAAAAGTTTTAATACATTCTGAAATACATCAACAGCTTTGTTTTTTTCACCTTTTAAGTATAATATAACTCCCTCAAGGTTTAGTAATGCACAATTTTTAATAGGGATGATGCAAGTTTCAGGATCCAACTTTTCCTTTTCTAGTTGAGTATGCAGCAGCTGTAACTGTTCAGGTGTGGCTTTCATGAGAATGTTTAAAGGTGGACACATAAAATGACCGATTCCTTCAGTCCAATCTGCCATCATGAAGAACCAAGGTCACTGTAAAAAAGATACAAGACAAAATATGATGTTAATCAGATTTTGTAGTTTTAATTTTTGTTTGAATTGCACTTGTCATTGTAAATGTGCATTCACTGCCTACTATTTCAGGCTGTCATTTTTAGGACAGTGCATTATGGGTGTAATGGGGAATGTATCTGCTTACAGATAGGAGTTGCATGTTTGAATCTTGTGTTTATATATGTGCCTGTAATGTCGAACATGTGTTTTTAAATTTAGGTGGGGGACCTTTTCTTTTTTTCTGAAAAATTCTTATGACAAAAATACATTCTGGTAATAACATTAATTCCCTCTACATAGAATGTGTCCATGCATGTGTCCACGGTGACCGTAATGTGTGCAGTTATGTTATATTTTGTCTTTTCTTCACAATCTAAGAAAATTTCATCACGTTTCATACAAGCTAATCGACAGTCTCTCTGTATTTTAAACAGGTTAAAAAAGTCAATGATGGCCTGAATTTCAAAGAACCTGATATTTTGATTAAAAAAATCTTCTCATTCACACCAACAATAATAATCACAATAAATGTAGACTACAAATTTTAAGCTAGTCATAGTTTTTGACAGGCACTTTTTAATTTTATGGCTACAAATTAAAAAGGGAAGACGTACCCATACCAAAAACTCCAGAAAAAAAGAAATATATGAGATATGTTCCAAGAAAAAAGTAGAGGAATGTCAACACACTAAGTCATGTTCATTTTACAGCTTACACCAGAAGATCTTACTAGAAGAGGCTAACAAACATATAACAATTTTATGAACTTTAACTATCATAGGAAGTTCTTAATTTTAATGAAAACAAAAACACTATGATCCATAATACATTATACTGGCAAAATTTATTAAAAACAGTTTCCTTAAAAGACAGCAACACCTCCTTCCAAATTAACTGTTCTTTTGCTTATTACAGTGTTACATCTTGAATTCTGTATTAAATAATTGTATTTTATAATTGTTTATTATTGTGACTTGTTAGTGAGTGCATGTCTCCTTTGTTATGTAACCATAATTCTTTGAGGAGTTTTGAGCGTAATTTGATAAATTGTAATTAAAATATATGTTTGTAGATATATGAGCTAAAACTCATTTACATATAACTGTAAGCATCAGCATGCATAGTGCAATTTGACATATGATTTGTGAATTGCATTGTCATTATATTTCTATTCCAGTACACGAAGCAATCAATCATTTGTGTCCATTCTCGTTACTATAAAAGTTACTAAGAACTTGGCTGAACTAAATTGAACAACAATAATACTCCTAAATGGTGTACTGATGTTTCTTGTATGTGTTGTATTATTGATGTGTGATTCCCTTTGTGATCATACTTTAGACATGACATTAATGAGATGGTTCATTTCACTTGTATTACACAAATCACACATTCTTTATTTCGACTGGTGATTTTGGTTTTATGTGTGGGCCAGATTCAATTTTTAAGTAGTGATTACTTCGTCTAAATTTGCTTAGCTGTTCACGCAGATTAAATGGCGGTGATCATGAACAATACAGCAACGTATACAACGCATGTGAAATACATGGTTAATTTACACACAGGACTGTGGGGGACTGTGGTTTACATGACCTCAAAGGTAGGGGATTAAATAGTAATTTCTGCATTGAACTACCAGTCACAAAAATACCCTGAATATGATAGAATAATCAAAAGATGCAGAATCCATAAAGTAAAGTAAGCGTTAAAATATTTGACATGACGAAACGATGGATTACATATTATGTAATTATGCATATTATATTATGTACTTATCATACTTGCTGTCTGGAAGTCCTGTAATAAAATGTCAATCATGTAACAGCCATTCTGAATGTTGTAAAAGTTAATAAGTATTTTCATTTATAATTTTCCTGATTCACAATCACAACGACGGTTAATTTTAATGTCCAGCTGCCTATACATAGGAAATGTCAGTTCGGATTTTGTGACTGTGTTTCTCAAAATACGTGATTACTACTTTATGCCAAGTTATGGCGTGGACACAGACTAATCAAAAGCTCAGTTAACTCTTATAAAAGTAGAAGATTTCAAAATATGTCTAAATTCTCACCCTAAATTATGGTAACTTGACTCATTTTCGGTACCAGGGATTTCGTGACTGCAACTTCGTGTTGATCGCCATTTTCAATAATGGGAAATCCTGTGTTGAAAATAGAACATAATGTCATCGGTCGTTGCGGGCGTTTTAGTGAAGCAAACTCAAAATGGCGCTTGTCATGGTGCGTGTGATTGGTGAGAGATGTTCAAAATATTTTACTTTGAAAACAAGGTAACAAAATATTTTCTAACTTTGTGCTATTGTTCTAAACCGTCAAGATTACATCGGTTTTCTTGTGCACTATCATATTATATAGGCTAAATATCGTTATCTAAGCGAGTCTGTCGTCCAGACACAAACCCGGAAGTGCCAGAATTTTTAAAAAACATAATAATTTATCTTGGAAAAAACAATCATTTTCCCGTCGTCGATCATGAAGAATTTGCAAACGAAAGTGGTAGACCATTATAAACTCTGGGGGCGAAAATCAAAAACTACCAACGTGCCAATGATTCCTGACGTCATGGTAACGTGAAGTGGTAATGTCAGTGCATATAATCGTTCTAATCAGAGGTACATTACTTGGGGTTTGCAACTACGGTGACATGATACCAAGATCCCGTCACAATCTCGCTCTCGCATAAACGTTTCAACTCAAAAAAATGCGAATGCGCATGCCCGTGGTAAGTAGGATACTGGGATGTCCAGGTGGATCAAAATAGCTGCCAACGATATGGCGGATTACGAGAACTTTAATATTCTGTACATTTTCGATGTAGTACATTTTTCACTACGATAGTGGCAAGAAAAGTTTTATTTTTTCATTACAAACCTTGAACATTGATATATGTCATATCAGAAGGTCGTAGCCTCAGTCTCGCTATCTACGAGAAGAGACTTGAATGGGATCTTGACATGATGTTACCATACAGTACTATGCGAGTTGCATACCCCAAGTCATGTACCTCTGTTCTAATAGATTTTCTACCAGCATTTGCTGATTCATTTTTACATGTAAAGTTAAAGGAGTATGAGCTGCATTTGTCATCATTTTTTTATATTTTTTTTATCAATGTAATACGAGTAGCTTTGCGATGAGTGGCTTTCGCGGTAATTGGGTTTCGTATCTGGTGGATTTCGCGTGGAATGGGGCTTTGTCCCAGTAACTGGTCCTTTCATCCTTGTTGAGAATTAAAGTTTTATGTTTCTTTAACAACTGGTGCTATTCTGGGAATACCACCCTGGCAGGAGTTCCAAAATAAGACCCATGCTCTGATAATGCCTCTAGTTTCAAAGAGCAATAAAAATTACAATTATGATCTTATTGGTGTTGCAAAGGATAGTTGAATATTGTTTATTGAAATTAATAATAATCCCCATAACCGTTTTCCAATATAGATAAATTGAAGTACGTAACAAACTATAACCCAGTCTCAACAATGAAATAAAGGAATGTATATATACATTTACATTTTTACAAATGCATTGCAATACAACAAAAATGAAATATTAATTATTTCATATTTTATTATATAACCTGCACAAAAGCAATCATTTTTTTTTTCCTTGCTAGAATGATGTGTAACTCAATACGGGAATCCCGATAAAGTTTACAACTGGCGACTTGGCAAAATTAGGGATTGTCAACTTCTTGTGAATTTGATTAGCTAACGTTTTTAGATTCATGTGCTGCAAGTTACAGAGCGCATACCTAAGCGGCCGTCCCCCAGCAAATAATTAAGCCAAGGCGTTTTCGATATTGAAATCAAGAAACTCTCCGGTTTTAACAATCTGGGAAGTTTGAATTACTAAATGAAGTACAGGACGACGAAACTGAAATATCCAAGAACCAACACATACCAAAAATCTCTTTAGTATAAGGTAGTAACAACTTGTCAATAATTATGGGGTTATTTGTAAGCATAAGATTGTTATGTGAACTCTGTTCATTAATGGAATACTGCGCGATGACGCTATTTTCAGGACCTAACTGACTCAGACTCCTATTTTGACTATGTCCCGGGCTGTTTACTAGTACATGTACCAACCTACTTACTTGTCAGTGTCTGACTGTTATATACAGCCCAGAACACATCAGAATAGTATAAAAAGTCAGCAAATGTCAGTTGTCCGTGCCATGAGAGCTGGCAACAGAACCAAAACAATCTGTCAGCCTTCACCGCGCACAGCATCGATATGATTTTACATTGCATAGAAATGATCACTAAATGCAGCAATTCCCGGCCGGTCAGCAATCGAATCATCAATCTTCATGAGTGATGTAACTGGTATTTTCACCTATTTACTTAGTGGTTCGTATGTTGTCAAGTTTGAGTGTGTTTTGACATACAGCGACGTGAACATTATTGCTACAATTTTAGGCTTTAACATATATATATATATATTCACCCAAAACAACAACAACCTGAAACAAAGGTAACCGCAAAATGATACAAAGTATATGACATATGTAATTATATGCATCAGTGATACACCATAATGAGAATTAGTGTTATTTACGAAAATATTTGTTCACAATTTTATAAACTGGCATGGAAATTCCCACCACCTATGCAAATTCACATAATTTTGTTTAATTGCATGTGTTCTGATCATTTGCCACTCAGCGTGGGTATTGAGTTTGCTGGTCTGACTCGCTCTGATCCTAGTGATCGGAATATTAACATGTATCATAGGAACGTTCCCATGCATTTGGCGAAAAGCTACCACGCATGAGTTGGAAAACTATCAATTGATTTCTGGACAACTTTCGCGTAATTTAAAATTACCTAAAGAGTAGCTAATGTATCGGAATCCCAACTGTAGCAATGCAAACCATAGTAAAGAATTGAGTAACTTCTATTCATAGTGCATTCTATTCAACAGGCGGCACAGCAAA